TTGTTGCTGAACCTTTAAATAAAGACACAAAAAGCGACAGGACAGAGATGCCTGCCTGGTGATCAGAAAGAATCTCCAGGGCTCTCTCACTCTCTCTCTCTCTCGCCGACACTGTCCATCCTTCAGGGACCCCTGGACCTACTGGAGCCGGCTCCGGCCTCTGGCAACACACAAAAATAAATTTAAAACCAAAATGTGAGACCTGAAACCATAAAAATCCTGGAAGAGAACAGGCAGTAACTTCTCTGACATGGTTTGTAGTGACATCTTTCTAAATACATCTTTTTTAAGGCAAGGGAAACAAAAGCAAAGATAAACTACTGGAATGGCATCAAAACAAAAAGCTTCTGCACAACAAAGGAAACTATTAACAAAACTAAGACAACCTGCTGAATTGGAGAAGATATTTGCAATGACATATCTAATAATGGATAGTATCCAAAATATATAAATAATTTATACAACTCAACACCCAAACCAAAATCAATCCAATTAAAAGATGGGCAGAAGACATGAATAGACATTTCTCCAAAGATGACATGTAGATGGCCAACAGACGTATGAAAAGTGCTCAACATCACTAATCACTAGGGAAAGAACAAATCAAAACCACAATGAGATATCACCTCACACTTGTCAAAATGACTAAAATGAAAAACACAAGAAACAGTTAAGTGTTGGTGAGGATGTAGACAAAAAGGAACCCTTGTGCACTGCTGGTGGAAAAGCAAACTGGTGCAGCCACTGTGGAAAAAGTATGGAGGTTCCTCAAAAAATTAAAAATAAGAATTAGCATATGAGCTAGTAATCCCACTACTGGGTATTTACCTAAAGAATGTGAAAACACGAGAGGGCCTGGCTCACTCAGACAGAGGAGTATACAATTCTTCATCTCAGGAACATGAATTCAAGCCTCATGTTGAATGTAAAGATTACTTAAATAAACTTAAAAAAAGAATATGAAAACACTAATTCAAAAAGATATGTGCACCCTATGTCTATTGTAGCATTATTTATAATAGCCCAAATCTGGAAACAACCCAAGTATCTATTCATAGATGAAGGAGTGAAGAAGATGTGATACACACACACACACACACACACACACACACACTAGAATATTACTCAGCCAAGGAAAAAGAATGAAATCTTGCCTTTTGTAACAATATGGGTGGAGCAAGAGGGTATAATGCTAAGTGAAATAAGTCAGAGAAAAACAACTGCCATATGATTTCACTTATAAGTGGAATTTAAGAAACAAAACAAATGAACAAAGAAGAAAAGAGACAAACAAGCAAACAGACTCTTAAATATAGACAGCAAACTTGGGGTTGCCAGAAGGGAGGTGGCCCGAAGGTGGGGATGGGTGACATAGGTGAAGGATGTTAAGAGTATATGTATCATGATGCGCCCTAGAAATGTATAGAATTGTTGAATCACTGTATTGTATACCTGAAGCTAACATAAAATTGTATGTTAAATATACTGGAATTAAAAAAATAAAGAAATAAGATTTAGTCTCTTTACACTTATCCCATCCATTCTGGGTATGCTGATGGCTTATGTGTATCCTTGTGCATATTTCTGTGCATTGCTGTATTATATGGGGTGCCAAAAGGAAACAGAATGCAGTCTTTCTTTTTTTTAAGTTTATCTTATTTATTTTGAGAGAGACAAGTGCAAGCGGTGGGGGGTGGGGGGTGGGGAGAGAAAGAATCCCCAGAAGTCTCTGCACTGTCAGTGCAGAGCTGGATGTGGGGCTTGAACTTATGAACCCATGAGATCAAGCCCTGAGCCGAAATCAAGAGTCCGATGCTCAACCTGAGCCACCCAGGAACCCCAAGAGAATTAAGAGAATTATTTGTACTCATAAAAATAATTATATTTAATTATACTTAATTAAAGTATATATAATTATTTTTATACCGGTGACTGTAGCATATTCTTTTTATTTTTTTAAGTTATTGAATGTGGCTTTATTGCATGAAATTCAATCTCATACATTGGGATATAAAGCTAAGTCAATTTTTCATGTTCTAGAACACAAGGATGGGTTTTCTCTTGCTGTTAATTCCCGAAGATGTTAATTTAGAGTGTTTCCCTTCCTGCAAATCAATTCCCTCTTTGTATATATGTATAAGAAATGCCAACTATTAGATGCTCAATGGTCTCTGGGGAGTCCAGATGTTCCTTTGGCTTCTAATACCTCAATCTATATTGAAATCTTCATAAGCAAACATTTCTGGAATGATTCACCCACAGCCGGGAACAGAGTGTATTAAGTAGAGGGAAATTACTGAATAACCAATATGACGAACAACACTTCTATGAAGTTCAAGGACTGCTCACCAGTACCGTGTGTTAAGAACACTAGTTAGGGGGCACCTTGGTGTCTCAGTCAGTTAAGCATCCGACTTTGGCTCAGGTCATGATCTCACGGTTTGTGGGTTTGAGCCCTGCATCAGGCTCTGTGCTGACAGCTCAGAGCCTGGAGCCTACTTCAGATTCTGTGTCTCTCTGTCCCTCCTCCACTCATACTCTCTCTCAAAATAAATAAATAAACATCAAAAGTTTAAAAAAATAAAGAAAGAACACTAGTTAGCAAACAGGCTTACATAAAGTCACAGATGGGACACCTGGGTGGCTCAGTTGGTTGAGCATCTGACTTCGGCTCACATCATGATCTCTCAGCTTGAGCCCCACGTCGGGCTCCCGTTCAGAGCCTGGAGGCTGCTTGGGATTCTGTGCCTCCCTCTCTCTGCCCCTTCCCCACTCACTTCTCTCTCTCTCAAAAATAAATACACACACAAAAATTAAAAAAAAGATAGGGCCACAGAAGAGCAAGTACTGCACACAAAACTTATTAAAATAATCCCTAAAAAGGTCAAAAGAATAGCATGAAATTAGAAAGTAAGGTCCTTTATCCATCACGTTATCTTATATGAAAGTTTGAGGGATATATTTGGGAGAAAACCCGGAAAGTATTTTCCACGTGACATAACTGACCCGCGGAGAAAGGCAGTGACTTGCTTACCAGAACACAACCCCTCAGTGGCAAAGCCAGGCTTGTCCTACCTTTCCCAGTGTAAGACCTTTGCTGTAATATAAAGTACAAAAATTTATAATAAAATATCTATTTCGTTGTAAAAAATTTTAAAGGCAGAATGTATTAGAGGACATAATAGATGCTTGAACATTTTTAAAATCATAAGTTTGGATTTAAGAGAAGTAAGAAAATCAGACGCCATCTGTATAAAGAATGCAAAACACCCCCCCCCCCAAAAAAAAAAACAGGAGCAGAGGTATGAGTGAAATTATTACTGTAAGCAATAAAGAACAGAATAAAAAAAGAGAAGAGACTTCTTAGTCTAAGAAAGAAGGATAAACGTTAACCTATGTGGGCGGACCAGGCCAAGGCCAACTCCAGAGTGCTGAAGCAGAGAAAATGAGGAATAAGTAACCAGGGCAAAAACAGTATTGATTCCCCGTGTTATGACATGGCATCGGGAAGTGAAACTCCCAGAAAATGTATGCACTCTGAGAAATCCCACTGTACATTGAGGCAAATACTCTTAAAAATTTTTTTTTAAACTGCTTATCCATTTTTGAGAGACGGAGAAGTCCAGAGCATGAGCAGGGTAGGAGCACCAAGAGAAAGGGAGACACAGAATCTGAATCCGGCTCCAAGCTCCAAGCTGTCAGCACAGAGCCCCACACGGGGCTCAAACTCATGAACCATGATACGCAGGTCTGAGCTGAAGTCAGACGCTTAATGGACTGAGCCACCCAGGCACCCTGAGGCAAACATTCATAAAATGATCTTAACATGATCTCAGGTGCCATCACTTTGAAAGGGCGGTGATGTGTCAAGGGCAGATTGGAAAAAGAAGTGGTGGCCCAAGAGGCTTTGCAGAAATGGTGGTGAAGGATCCCTGGAGATAGCCTCAGAGTACGACGGAAAAACAACAGGAAAAACCCAGATGTGTAGCTTCAGTATGGGATGTTCAGAAGAGAGAGTTTTTACCGGGTGTTATAAATCTTAAAACATGCATATAGGATGATGTATTAGGGTTCTCCAGAAAAGTAGTACATATGTATATATTTCTTTATATTTCAAACATCGATATATTATAAGGTATTGGCTCACATGACTGTGGAGGCTGAGAAGTCTCGTCATTTGCTTTCTGCAAGCTGGAGCCCCAGAGAAGCCGGCAGTGTAGTTTGAAAGCCTCAAAGTCAGAGGCCGATGGTGTATATGCTGGTCTGAAGGCCTGAGAAAGGCAGAAGTATGATGTCCTAGCTCAATCAGTCAGGCAGAGAGCAAATTCAACCTTCCTCTGCCTTCTCATTTTATTCAAGCCCTCAGTGGATTGGATGATGCCCACCCACACCGGAGAGGGCCATCTGCTTTACTCAGTACACCAACTCAAATGCCATTCTCTTCTGGAAACACCCTTACAGACATACCCAGCCATGATGCTTAACCAGATAAACATCATTTGGCATCCTGTGGCCCACTCAAGTCGACACATAAAATTAACCACCACAGATGGCAGTAATATGAACTATGTTTAGAACAATTATCTGGATGACTCAGTTGGTTAAGTGTCCGACTTCAGCTCAGATCATGATCTCACAGTTTGTGAGTTCGAGCCCGGCGTCGGGCTCTCTGCTCTCAGCCTAGAGCCTGCTTCAGATCCTCTCTCCTCCCACCTCTCTCTGTGTCCTCCCCCCACCTCTCTATCTCAAAAATAAACATTAAAAAGATAACAGAAATTAAATGAGCTCCCTGTATTTCATGTTTTTTCCCCAATTTGGTAATTCATTTTACCTTAAAGCTGTCTTAGATCTCTTCCGTTACGTGTTTGCAAGAGATAGTTACAAATGTAGACTGATATAGTGTGTTGTACTGGTGATTTATATCCCACAGGTGGCATGGCCTTTTCTCCTGTTATTTTATAAGGTTAATCACTCTTGGGGAAGTCCCAAGTGATAAACAAAGTATGCGGCGGCCACATTCCCGGAAGCTTTGATATAGGATAAATCCTGAAAGTTCAGATTATTAAGCTCTGATCTTAAACAATTATAAATGAGTTTATCTTCATGAATGGCTAGTGGCACATTCAAAAGTCATGAGAGACAATTCATCATCATCTGGGACTGTCCTGAGCATTGTAGAAAGTCTAGCATTCCTGGCTCTCTTTCTCTAAATCCTTTTCTCTGCACGTCATCTCCTTCACTCACAGCAACAAACAAGAACATGCTCATAACTTCCCCAGAAATCCCACGATGGGGTGGTACTTCCTTTGCCCAAGAATTGCTGCAGTGTGCTTTTTCAGGATGTGTGGAAGCATGCCCATGTGCAAGAACTGACATCATGACAGGCAGCAAAGTACTTCTCAGAGTCCGTCCTCATTTGGACTGTCCTTTTCCATTAATAGTAATCAGGGCATACATTTTATGGGAAGATGCTAAAGGAAGTTTGTAAAACTGCAGACTCACCAATGCCTTTGACCGTGCACATCACCTGCGATCGATGGGGGCAGTACAGCCTGCAAATGGAGTTAAAAAAAATTAACAAGGCAGAGTTTGAGCAGCATGTGAGCTAAACCATCTAGAGGCTCTCTCCCTTCCCCCAAGCCCCCGCCGCCAACTCTTAGGAACTTGAGATTTGTGGGAAACACGACTCTTGAACTCCGACCACATGAAATGTTCATGAGCCGGCCCGTGGGACTGCTGATTCCTCCCTAGTGGCTCCCACTGGCAGGAATTCATGTGTTAGCAGGTGTGTTAGTTGTCACAAAGTATCAGTTATGTGTGCCAATGGATTCCACATTTTTTAGGGCTACTTGCTCATGGTAGAGAAGACACAAAAGGGCTGAGAATCGTTACCCTGCGGGGTAGTCTGTATGCTCTGGGGGAAGTTAGGGCAGCGGACCGGGAGAGGGCCCTCAGGTTCCTGCAATGAAACTGATGCTATTTTCTCCTAGTGAGTGCAGGTGAGTGGATGGTCCTTCTATTATAGTGTTTCAGTTCTGATTATTGAAACGTCCTTATTTAAGCTCTCAAGGCTCAGAGTTGATGATTTTAAGCCTTCAGTTTCACATCCGAGTCCAAGTTTTGCCCTCTGCTTTAACAAAGATGGGTGGGCCAGTCTTTTGGCTCCAATGGCTTGTAGGATGTTTCGTGAGAGGGCTGGGGACCGCTCCCCACCCCCACCTGATTCCTCTACTTGTTTTTTTATTTTTTATTTTTTTTTTTTATTTCTAGGAGAGAGAGAGAGAGAGACAGCGTGAGCAGGGGAGGGTCAGAGAGAGAGGGAGTCACAGACTGAAACAAGCTCCAGGCTCTGAGCTGGCTGTCAGCACAGAGCCCGACGCGGGGCTCGAACCCACGAACCGCGAGATCATGACCTAAGCGAAAGGCGGACGCTTAACCGACTAAGCCACCCAGGCGCCCCTGATTCCTCTACTTGTAATGAGGGCACCCAGGAGATACCTGAACCATGACTGCTCGTGGAGAGGGACTGTCTTCCTTGCTTGATACATGCATTATTCCCTGTGCATATAACCCCATATCAGGATATGGTCTTCTTCCTATAGATTCTATCTTCATTCTAGGTGGGTATGCGGTGGCTTCTACTGTCTACAATATCACGTAGACAGTTCTGAGCAGTTTGTGGTGGCCTTTTTTGTAACCTGGCCTCATCTTCCAGCTGACGTAAACAGCAGCGTTTTCTGAAAGCGCTTTGCCACATATTCTATCAAATACATATCCCCCGCGCTGCGGGACATGAGGGTGTGAGGATCACCCTCTCTGTAAACCTAATACCCTCTAGGGAGGGGGGAATATAGTGCTCATTATAGTGAAAAGGCACCTGTGGTAGTTTTCTAGGCGACTGTAATGAAGTATCACAAACAGGGTGGTTCAGAACAATAGAAATGTATTGTCTCACTGTTCTGGGGGCCAGGCATCCAAAATCCAAAATCGAGCTGTTGACAGGGTCATGCTCCCTCTGAAACCTTTAGGAAAAGATCCTTCCTTGCCTCTTCCTCATTTCTGGTGATTTCCCAACAATCTGGTGTTGCTTGGCTTGTAGATAGATGTACCATCCCCATCCTGTCTTCACATGATGTTTTCACTTAGTCTTCCTTGTGTGTGTATGTGTGTGCACACGCGTCTGTGTGTGTGTGCGCTTCTGTGTGTGTGTGTGCCTCTGTGTCCACTTTCCCCTTTGCACAAGGATACTGGTCATTAATATGGGGACCACCCTAATGGTCTTATTTTTATCATGATTACCTCTGTAAAGACCCCATTTCCAAAAAAAGTCACATTCTGAGGGGGACTGGGATACCAACATATCTTTTTGGGGGGGGACACAATTTGACCCACAACAACACCCCTCCAGCAAGCTCTTCAGTGGTTTTTAGGGACTTAGAATGTTGAGCACACATCTACTTTCAGAAGTCACTAATTCTCGGAAAATAACAATTCCACCTATATATCATCATCCTACAGATATAATGAGAAGAGCTCATAAATGATAAACAATGAGAATTTATTGAGGGATTAGAATTAACTAGGAGCTCTTCTAAGTCCTTTAATGATGTTCTATAATTTAATATTTGCATCTACTCTGTGGGCTAGGAACTATTATTTCTGTTTTACAGGAGAGGAAATGAAAGCACAGTAAAATCAAAAGTCTTGCCATTGCTACCTTGACATCATGGCTGCCTTCAAAGTCAGAATACTTCCTTTTCTCAGATGAAGGAGTTCCTTCACTCAGGCTGATCTTCTCCAACCTAAGATAAAGTGGACGTTCACCTTTACTTTCTTACATCCCCTGGACCGGCTGTATTTGTCCATGTTCACTCAAAATTTTTTTTAACTTTTATGTTTATTTTTTGGGAGAGAGAAAGACAGAGCATGAGCAGGGAAGGGGCAGAGAGAGAGAGAGAGAGAGGGAGATATGGAATCTAAAGCAAGTTCCAGGCTCTGAGCTGTCAGCACAGAGCCTGATGCGGGACTTAAACCCATGAACCGTGAGACTATGACCTGAGCTGAAGTCAGATGCCCAACTGACTGAGCCACCCAGGTGCCCCTCAGATTGTTTTTAAAAAGCGTAGAGTCAACTTGTGATCAGCTCGCATCCTTTATTGAAGAAGTAGGGAGAAGGTGCACTGGGAAGGACTTCATTAGCATGTATTTTCCATGAGGCCTCTTGAGAACAGTTGCAGAGTTCTTCACCCATTCACAATTAATCTTTCGTTCTTGACTGGAGTCACACTTGTTCTTTGTGAATTATGTACAGACACTCAATTCTGACAGAGAAAGACCTGGGGTGAGTGGGTGACAGCAAATTGATCACTGTGATACCAGAAAATAAGGGCATGATCCCAAACCACTGAAACAAAACAAAACAAAAACAAAACAACAAAAGCAACAACAAAAGAACCCAGCAACGAAAACCAAACAAATATGCAAACTTAAATGTGACCAGTTGAAACCACACTGAGAAAAATAACACCCACTCTGTCCTGAGGGGAGAGGTCAAGGTGCAACAGACCTCTGGCCCGTCAGAAATCAGAGGTTTCATTGAGTTACAACCACCACATTAAACTAAAATATTACTCCTCAGAAAATGACCTTCAGCTGGCCTGGGGTGGGTGCTGAGAGTCCTCGTGGGTCCTGTACTTCATATTCTAGATCAGAAGGAGAAATATCTGGACAACCGATGGAGCAGAGAGCTGTCTGGCTCCGACTATAGGATTTGGGAGGGATCACCACAGAAATTCTAATGGGAATAGCGTACGAGATGCAATGAGGTGAGTCCTGTGGGCTGGTGAGGTAGCCTTAGGCTACTACTGACTGTCTGTCTGACCATTTGTCAGGAGGATGATCCACTTCCGGCAGTGGTTGACTGAGGGTACTTGACACCTTGGAAAGTGAAACCACGGATAAAGAGGGACTGCTGTATATAACCAGAAAGTTTGATCAAGAAGCCCTGATGCTAGAAATGCTTCAATAGCATCCTGGTACTTAAAGGCTAAATTCCAAGTTCTTTACTAACGTGGCTGGGCCCTATTAAGATCTGGCCTCAATTTACCTCTCCAGCGTCATTTTCCATCACTTTCCTATAAATACTATATCCTTCAGGAATCCCTCGAATGTGCCTTGATGGCTCCACGCAGTTTCAGGCTGACTTATCAAACTGTAGGTGTTGGTTGGGGGGATTTAATGATCTATCTTGAAAGAATTTAGACAAACTGTGTAGGTAAGGAGATAAGATTATCAGCCATTATAACCCGTTTCCTTCTATCATGATTTAGTGATTGTTTCTGTCCTTTATTCTATTAACGGAATGTATTATATTGACTTTTTCCCAATTTAAAATAAATTACGTGTTAAAATACACATAATTGTTATCATCATAACCATTTTTAAGTGCACAGTTCAGGGGTATTAAATGCATATATGGTGCCATTGCAATCATCATCACCATCCATCTTCATAGTTCTTTCCATCTTGTAAAACTAAAACTCTATATCTATTAAACAGTAACTCCTCACTCCCAGCCCCTGGCAACCATCATTCTCTTTTCTGACTCTGCAATTTTGACCACTCTATCTCCTAGGGAGTGGAATCACACAGCATTTGCCTTTTTGTGACTGCTTTATTTCACTCAGTATAAGGTCCTCAAGGTTTATCCATGATGTAGCATATGTCAGAACTTTCTTCCTTTTGAAGGCTGAGTAATATCCTATTATAGTTATATACCACATTTTGCTTGTTCATTCATCTGTTGATGGAAATTGGGTGGCCACATTGTAGCCATTGTGAATAATGCTTCTCTAAACATGGGTGAACAAATACCTCTTTGAGACCCTGCTTTCAATTCTTTGGGGTATATATCCAGAAGTAGAATTGCTGGATCCTACGATAATCCTATTTTTAAATTTTCAAGGAACAATTATATTGTTTTCCATAGCAGCTGTACCATTTTGTGTTCCCACCAAAAGTGCACAAGTGTTCTAATTTTTTTTTTTACATTCCAGCCAACACTTGTTTTCTGTTTTTTTTTTATAAAAAAATATTTTGATAGTAGCCGTCTTTATGGGTATAAGATGATACCTCATTGTGATTTTGATTTTGCATTTCCCTAATGGTCAGGGATGTTGAACATTTTTCCATGTGCTTATTGGCTTTATCTGAAGAAATGTCTATTCAAGTCCTTTGCCCATTTTTGAATTGTTTATTTTTGTTGTTGAGTTTGAAGTGTTCTCTATATATTCTTGATATTACCCCCTTATTATATATATGGTTTGCAAATGTTTTCCTTCTTCATTGTGTTTGCTCTTTTGAGGCACAAAATTTTTAATTTTCATGAAGTCCAATTTGTCTATTTTTTTCTTTTGTTGCCTATGCTTTTGGTGTCATATCCAAAAAATCATTGCCAAGTCAAATGTCATGAAGGTTTGGACTCATGTTTTCTTCTAAGAGTCTTATTATTCTAGGTCTTACAGTTAAGTCTTTGATTCATTTTGTGTTAATT